AAGCAAAAACCTGAAAAGACTCCTTAAAAGGCCAATCTCAGGTTCTACAATAGTGATGTTACTGTAGGAGTAATTGGGGAATTGCGAATCTTGTGGCTAATTTGTTTGTCCTAAAAAGACACTCTGGTCAGCAGGCAAGAAGGCGATTTGTTTCAGGAAAGAGCTGTTATCATCTTCATTTCAAAGTTAAACTATAAACTAAGTTCCTCCCAAAGTTAGTTCAGCCAACACCCAGGAATGAACAAGGGCAGCTTGGAGGTCAGAAGCAAGATATAGTCCGTTAGGTCAGATTTATTTCACTGTTGTAATTTTCTCACTGTTATATTTTGCAAAGGTGGTTTCAGGACTTCAGGAACATGCCACCATGACTGGCTTTTAAAATTTTTTTGTAGGGGTCTCATTATGTATCCCATGCTGGTGTCCCAACTCGTGGTCTCAAGTGATCTTCTTGTCTTCAGCCTCCCAAAGTGCTGGGATTATAGGTATGAGCCACTGTGCTGGGCCTCCTTTAATTTATAATTATTTCTAATTAGGATTGACCATTTTGCCCATTTTGTCAGCAGTTTCTTTCTTTCACGAGTTGTCTCATTTTGCCAGTCCTAATATTTTTCTTATAGATGTAGACATGTTTGGCAACATGTTCCAAGGAGCTACGTGTCATGTTCTCTTCTCCATGGCCATGCCCCAGACCAGAGAATATAACACCTCCATTGTGAAAATGTGGAAATATTGTTTCCAAGTGACAGTGACAGTATGGCACTCACATTTTCCACAGCGTTTCTTCCTCTTTTTTCTTCTGCTGGTTTTCTGAGTGTATTTGTTTTCTTAGTTTATCTTACTCTGGCTGAGTGAACATATGACTGGAGCTAACTACCTTCCAGCACAGGCGCATGTTACTGGGAAGGGGTCTCAATCCAGACCCCAAGAGAGGGTTCTTGGATCTAGCATAATAAATAATTCAGAGTCCATCAAGTGAAAGCAAGTTTACTAGGAAAGTAAATGAATAAAGAATGGTTACTCCACAGACAGAGCAGCCCAAAGGGCTGCTGGTTGCCCATTTTTATGGTTATTTCTTAATTATATGCTAAACAAGGGGTGGATTATTCATGCCTCCCCTTTTTAGATCATAAAGGGCAACTTCCTGACATTGCCATGGCATTTGTAAACTGTGATGGGGCTAGTGAGACTGTAGCAGTGAGGATGACCAGAGGTCACTCTCTCGCCATCTTGGTTTTGCTGGGATTTGGCTGGCTTCTTTATTACAACCTGCTTTATAAGCATGGTCTTTATGACCTATATCTTACGCTGACCTCCTATCTCATCCTGTGACTAAGAATGCCTTAACTTCCTGGGAATGCGGCCCAGGAGGTCTCAGCCTCATTCTACTCAGCCCCTATTCAAAATGGAGTTGCTCTGGTTCAAATGCCTCTGATACCCACACTATCCCCTCACCCCTACCCTGCACTCCAGCCACAGTGACCTCAGAGTGCCCTGCACCCAGTTGGTACCCATTGAACACAATTTAATGAAATGACACACATTTGAGAAGGACAGGAAGGAAAAGTGAAAAACTTCTAATTTATTTTACTTATTTGAGACGGAGTTTTGCTCATCACCCAGGCTGGAGTACAGTGATGCGATCTCGGTTCACTGCAACCTCCGCCTCCCAGGTTCAAGCAATTCACCTGCCTCAGATTACAGACGCGCACCATCACGCCCAGCTAATTTATTTTATTTTTTTAATTATTATTATTATTTTTTTAAGTAGAGACAGGGCTTCACCATGTTGGCCAGGCTGGTCTTGAACTCCTGACTTCAGGTAATCCGCCTGCCTCGGCCTCCCAAAGTGCTGGGATTACAGGTGTAAGCCACCTTGCCCTGCCCTTATTTTTAATTTTTAATTAATTTATTTATTTTAAAGACAGGGTTCTGCTATGTTCTCAGGTTGGAGTGCAGTGGCTGGTTTATTCCCAGGTGAGATCAGGGTACACTATAGTCTTGAACATCTGGCCTCAAGTGATTCTCCTGCCTCAGCCTCCCAAGTAGCTGGGACTATAGACATATGCTACTGTGCCCTATTAATTTTCTTTTTAATAAAACATTTGGTTTCAGTAGCAGAACTTACTTAAATTTGTGAGAAATGTCTGCTCCCCAGTAGAGAACATGGCCCTGCAAAACACTCTTGGTTTACTCATTTCACAATTTTCCCTTCCTCGGTTGACAACTGTGAAATAGGGAAGCAAATGCTATCAAAGATAGCTATAAATAATATCTGCGTGAGGCAGACAATTACCTGTACTGCAGTCTCTTCTCTGCTTTGGCCTTAATTCCAAACAACATTAAAAAGCAAATCCACAAAACCATTTGGGGATAGGAAAGTACAAAGGTGTATTTACTCATAGGAAAAAAAAAAATTAGGACCCTTGATTGGTGTCCAGCCCATATTCATGCTCCCCAGCGTCCCGGGGGCCTTGTAGACACCTTTTGAGCCCATCACACACATTACCTTAAAATGCTTCCCAGATTTAACTGAAAGCAAACACCTTCAGTAGGCAAAGTAGACTGAACACTGGGTAAAAGCACCCTTGCTTTCTAATCTCCAGTGAGGCCAAAACTGATCTTATGAGCTCATGAGTTGATCTAGAAAACACATTTGTAATAAATATTTTCTATGCTCTTCAATGACAATTAAAAAATGGACACTATATAACTAAGATGGGATTGATCTTTTTTTTTTTTTTTTTTGAGACGGAGTCTTGCTTTGTCGCCCAGGGTGGAGTGCAGTGGCCGGATCTCAGCTCACTGCAAGCTCTGCCTCCCGGGTTTACGCCATTCTCCTGCCTCAGCCTCCCGAGTAGCTGGGACTACAGGCGCCCGCCACCTCGCCCGGCTAGTTTTTTGTATTTTTTGGTAGAGACGGGGTTTCACCGAGTTAGCCAGGATGGTCTCGATCTCCTGACCTCGTGATCCGCCCGTCTCGGCCTCCCAAAGTGCTGGGATTACAGGCTTGAGCCACCGCGCCCGGCCCTTAGGGATTGATCTTATGAGCTTATAAATTGATCTAGAAAACACATTTGTAATAAATATTTTCCATGCTCTTCAATAACAATAAAAAATGAACACTATGTAACTAATTAAGATGGGAGTAGGCGGCCAATAAAAACATCTAGTGTCTAGCACCACCTTGTGGTACAACATTCAAATCCTGAGCCCTTGCAAGGACCCCAAGATTAAACCTTCTTGAAAAAAGAGTTGGTTCATGAGCTGCTCTACCATTTCGATGTAACAATATACTTTCTGGAGAAATACGAAATAATAGAAATAACTAGCACTTGACTGGTACTTTATTGTAAACCAAGCGCTCCCATCTGAAAGATCTCACTTAATCCTGGCAGTAGCCCTGCCAGGTACTAGGTTCTAAGATCTTAGTCTTAGAAATGTGAAGTCTGAAGTTCAAAGAAGTTGGTACTTTGTACTGGGCAAGTCCTGCACTTGAACCCATTTATTCATATTCCCATTATTCATATACCAAATCCTGTAATAAGATTGTATTAGCACTACTGTATGGAGTGTGTGTATGTGTGTGTGTGTGTGTATATATATATAATCACTATACTATATGTATTAATATATGTGAAAAGTTCAAAAGAAACATATAGTACTATATAGGATATTTTAATATAATATAGTATTTATACTATTTTTTATAGTACTGTTAGCCAGTACTCATTACGTTTCTGGGGCTGTTTTCCAGCTGTGAAGACAAGGCAATATTGGTTGACTCTTTGTAGTCCATATGATTCCACAGAGCTTGCTACTAAACCAACCATGGTCTTGCTTTCCTGGTCCCTAAGCACCCAAACTGTGGGAGAACCTGATCCTCTGTTGTCTTAATTTAGGGTGCACTGATGGAAATGTGGCCAGGGAGAATGAACACAAGGACCTAGAGGCAGTGAGACTGAAGCCATTTTTATGTTTGGCCTTTAAAATGCTTATGAACCAATCTACTGACTCATAGTTAAAATACTGATGGACTGGGTCACCTCATTAATTTAATAAGAAGTACATTTTACAATCAATATATCTTAAAGTTGGCAGCTGCCTGGCCCATTTCCAACCCTGGCCCACCCATGAAAAAATAAATCTTAGGTATATATATATATATGTACATATGTATGCTTTCTCTGAAGTCATTCTTGTCTCTTGGCCAGTCTGCCCAATAGCTACCCTTCTAAGGGACAATAACCTAGACCTCCTGGTTCCTAGATTCACAACAAACCCTCCACTGAGAATACTATTGATGGAAAACTGACAGAAGGACCAACAGCCTGTTAGTCTTCTAGGGATTCTAAAATCTACCTAGACCATCTCCTTTCAGTCCTCTTCATCTACTTATTTGATAGTCCCTTGGGGGTTATATCTATGTGAAGCTATATTATCAGAAACAATGCTTTGATACTTGTTTTTATTACTGGTAATGCTGTTAAGTTTGCTATGTTATAGTGTCCTATTTATGGGAACTAGAGGGAAAGGTTCCTTAGATCTCCAGATTAGGAGTAGCTGCCTCAGGTTTATTGCATGGAGTCTGAACTTGATCTTGTTTCCTTCTTTACGCTGACCACTAGGAAGCAAAATCTGTTATTTATCCTTAAGTGTAAAAGACCTGTTGTAATGCAGTTTGTGTGGATAAGGTTATTTTCCTGGCCTCAACTTTTTTTTTCTGTTAGCCCAATTTCCCTACTTAAAATCGTGTAATTTTTGTATTTTTGTAAGTTGTCCTCAAACTCTTTTGGGGAGAATTTTTAAAATAGAAGAAAAACTACTCAAACTACTCTCTGGTGTTAGACTTCAGAATAGAGAATACCTTGCAGGGACAGTGACTAGAATGAGACACAGGGGTGGGGTGGGTTCTGGGGTACCAGTCATGCTGGACGTGTCATACATCACTGTGATGTCAGTGAGCTAAATACTTATGATTTGTGCACTTTTCTGTATGTATGTTAAACTTCTATGTTCAAAAAATGAAGACTGAGGGAAATACTTATGTGCCATATGTATGTACTTCCTTTAATCCTCTGAACGCTTTTAAGTTAGTAATTATCCCCATCATAAAAATGAAGAATGTGAGGTTCAAACAGGTTAAGGAATGAGGCCAAAATTCCAAATGACTTCTGATAACAAAAGCAAAGGCTTATCCTACTATACTACACCGCTCTTTGCTTTTTTTTTTTTTTTCCAGTTGGACACGGGGTCTCGCTCTGCACCCAGGCTGTAGTGCAGTGGCGTGACAATGGCTCACTCGATTGCTGCAGCCTCCAACTCCTGGGCTCATGCAATCCTTCAACCTCAGTCTCCCGAGTAGCTGGGACTACAGGCATATACCACCTCACCCGGCTAATTTTCTTATTTTTGCACAGAGATGGGGTCTTGCTACATCACCCAGGCTCTCACTTTTCTACTTTAAATGGCCTGTCTTTATCCAGCTTAGCCACTAAAATCCAAGAAACATTGGTCAGACCTAGTAGAGACACAAGTGAACAGACTTCCGTGAGGGGGCAGTGGGCAGCGACGGGGGCTGTAGCTGGCTGTGGGATTCATTTGGTGGAGGGGGCTTTGGGAGAGAGCACTGGACTGAAAGTGGGGAGCCTGAGGCTGCTTCTGGACAGGGCTGGACTCTCACTGGGAGAAGGCCCATGAGGACCCCTATAGGTCCACCTTCTTTACAAGTTCCATCAGCCCCTCCCAAGAAGTTGAGGACAGATGGCAGAATCACAACACCCAAGAGGCACAGACTGGGCCCTGCTGCCTGCCCCTCTTCTCTTCAGGAGCCGGGAGGATTTATTCTGATTGTGCGGAACCACTATGACTATCATCCAGCCCCTTCACCCTGGGGCCCCTCCTCCAGATGTGCTTGGAGTTGAAGGGCCCAGGCCTGCTGCATGTGCAGCCCAGTCACGTACTCAAAGACAGCGTTCTCACAAACAGCTTTCTGCAGAAAGGCACACAGAAAGGCTTACAGGCTTAACTCTTGGGAGCAGAACAAAATCACCTGGATTTTACTTCATAAAGGAAAAGTCATTAAAAGGCAATGATTGGGAAACAGGTCAGCAGACCAATTTAGGGATTTCCCCATATTTCACAACACTAGCTACGTGATTCTGGACTCATCATTTACCCCTTGCTACTGCTTCCTCATTTCCCAGTAGGGAGTTGGAACGTCCATTCTAAAGCCCCTCTCAACTCTGAAATTCTAACTCTAGACACCAGCCGTCTTCTCAGAGAAACAGCACTGGACAAATGGGGCAGAAGGGAGGACAGGTGATGACCATCCCTTCTGTCTCCCAGGGCAAATAGTGTGATAAGCAACTGGCCCAGTGATAAGGGGTCTCAACAATCAGGTAGGGAGCCATGGACGGTTCTTGAGCACAGATAGAGCAAAAGTGGTATTTGTGGAACACTAGTTTTGAAGAAATACGTAAATGAACTAAAGGGGAGACCAATGGGCAAATATGACACTGGAAAAAGAAAACAGAACAATCCTTTAGACTAGAAATACATATGAGTGTCTTATTTTAGTCTACTTGGCCTCATTTTTACTCCATGGTTGTCTGACATGTTGCCTGGAGGAACACTTACAGTCACATGAGTAATGACAAGAATCTCTTTACGTGCTACAGGGTCCTTCGGCTTTTCTTTGTGGAATTTTACAGTGAACAATATGGCTAAATTATGTTATTCTATAAAACTCTCACTACTTTTCAGGCCTTGAAGTTTTATTTACATGTCTCTCACACACACACTTTCTATTTTTTAACACAAAAGGTACATAGTAGTCCCCCCCTTTACTGTGGGTGGTATGTTTCAAGACCCCCAGTGGTTGCCTGAAACCAAGATGGTACCAAACCCTAAAAAAAAAGAACAATTTTAACAATATACTGTAATAAAAGTTATGTGAATGTGATCTGTCTTTCCAATTTTTTTTTTTTTTTTTGAGACAGACGTTTGCTCTGTCGCCCAGGCTGGAGTGCAGTAGCGTGATCTCAACTTACTGCAACCTCCACCTTCCAGGCTCAAGCCAACCTCCCACCCTAGCTGGGACTATAGGCACATGCCACCACATCTGGCTAATTTTTGTATTTCTGTAGAGACAGGGTTTCACCATGTTGCCCACACTGGTCTTGAACTCCTGGGCTCAAGGGATCTGCTGGCCTCGGCCTCCCAAAATAAAAATATCTTATTTCTTAAGATATTTTCAAAATATCTTAAGAAAAGTAACTGACTGCAGTTGAAAACAGGTAATTGAAACTGTGGTAAATGAAACCATGGATAAAGAGGTACTACTGTACATGCTCATCAAAAAAAATTAAGGGCCAGGCATGATGGCTCACACCTGTAGTCCTAGCTACTCAGGAGGCTGAGGCAGGAAGATTGCTTGAGCCCAGGGGGGTCGAGGCTACAATCAGCTGTGATCACACCACTGCACTCCAACCTGCGTACCACAAGATCCTGCCTCAAAAAATATATAAAGTAAAAAGAGTGATTTTATTTATTTATGAAACATGGTCTCACCCTTGTCGCCCAGGCTAGAGTGCAATGGCATGATCTCGGCTCACTGCAAACCTCCGCCTCTTGGGTTCCAGTGATTCTCCTGCCTCAGCCTCCTGAGTAGCTGGGATTACAGGCACTTGCCACCATGCCCAGCTAATTTTTTTGTATTTTTAGTAGAGATGGGGTTTCACTATGTTGGTCAGGCTGGTCTCGAACTCCTGACCTCAGGTGATCCCCCAACCTTGGCCTCCTGAAGTGCTGGGATTACAGGCATGAGCCACCACGCCCAGCCAAAAGAGTGATTTTAAATTATCCTCTTCAAGGGGAGGTATGAATGCCAACCTCATGAAAGGTCAGGACTTATGATCCAGGCCCAGGATCACAGGAGATGGGTTCTTAGGAGGCTTTAGAAATTTGCTCTGAAGGAAAACTCTCGGCACACACAGGCCTTCTTTTTTATTCACCGTCTCTCGAAACACATACTCGTTTACCACTTCTTCATAACCTGTGTCCATAAAGAGCTGAGCCAGGAATTCTGTAAGACAAGCATCAACAATGCTCAAAAGTCTTCATAACATTACATTTGCTTTGCAGTCCTTGAGGAGGAGGGATAGGGGCTGAGGCTATGTTAATATTTTTTTAAATGAAAACCTCAATGCTAAAATTTAAAGGTTTTGATTTGGGAACTGATACACTCCTTCTCCTCTTCTACCCAAACAGAAACCTTCAATTAATTTAATCAGAACAAGGTGAAGGACAACTCGGTATGCGCATCTTGCCTTATTATGAATTCTCAAATACAAAAGCCCAAGTAAAAACAAACAATTCCAAATTGACTATATTCCTTTTTTAAAAAATTATATATATATATATATATATATATATTTTTTTTTTTTTTTTTTGGTGAGAGTATTGCTCTGTCACCCAGGCTAGAGCAGTGGTACGATCTCAGTTCACGGCTACCTCCGCTTCCTGGGCTTAAGAGATTCTCCTGCCTCAGCCTCTTAAGTAGCTGGGACTACAGGCACACACCACCATGCCTGGTTAATTTTTTTGTGTTTTTAGTAGAGACGGGGTTTTGTCATGTTGGCTAGGCTGGTCTCAAACCTCTGACCTCAAATGATCCACCCATTTTGGCCTCCCAAAGTGATGAGATTACAGGCATGAGTCACTGCACCCAGCCAATTATATTCCTTTGTAAAATTTTTCTTATTGTTTCCCATCTCTGAACAAAAACATAAAAATTGGCTGTATTCCTACAAGGTCTGCATATGTTCAATTTGTTTACATCAAACATCTTATTCATCCTAACACAAAGGAGGAAAATTTGTGATCAGAGTGGAGAAAAATGCCCAATGGTGACCTAGCTCCAGGAAAATCTAACCCAAATAATACATCACTACACATGAAATGAAACAAGTAGAATAAATGGCTAGGCAGCAAAAATAAAGACTCTTACTAAGAGCATTGCTCCAGAGAACATGCTCTGAAGCACTTTGCAGATATCACTGCATCTTCTCAATATTTACAATTGGTTTAAATTTTATGAATTAAAATATCTTTTAATTTTTAACCTATTTTGATAATTTTGCAGTTTTTCTGTTTTGTTTTGAGACAGGCTTCTCGCCCTGTCACCCAGGCTGGAGTGCAGTGGTATGATCATAGCTCACTGCAGCCTCTATCTTCTGGGGCCAGACGATCCTCTTGCCTCAGCCTCCTAAGCAGCTGGGACCACAGGTGCATGCCACCACTCCTGGCTAATATATTTTTTTTAATTTTTAGTAGAGATAAAGTTTCACTGTTGCCCAGGCTGGTCTCGAACTCCTGAGCTCAAGTGATCCTTCCGCCTCAGACTCCCAAATAATTTTGCAGCTTTAATAGTAATCACTCAATTTTAGTTCATTTTGGTATCTAAAAGAATATTTCGTTTCAAGAAGAAAAATGTTTGTTAAAATAGAGATTAAGGTAATTATCTTTCTATCTAGACGATTAAGTAGACTTTGTTCAAGACACCTAAAAGACTGAAACAGTGTTCCATATTTTCTTATCAAAAATGACTTTTTAAATACATCTATAGGCTAGGTATGGTGGCTCACGCCTGCAGTCCCAGGATTTTGGGAGGCTAAAGTGGGCAGATCACTTGAGACCAGGAGTTTGAGACCAGCCTGGCCAACATGGCAAAACTCCATCTCTACTAAAAATACAAAAATTAGCTGGGCGTGGTGGCACACACTTGTAATCTTTGCTACTTGGGAGGCTGAGGCACGAGAATCACTTGAGCCTGGGTGGTAGAGGTTACAACATGCCAAGATCACACCACTGCACTCCAGCCTGGGCGACAGAGTAAAACTCTGTCTCAAAAATAAATAAATAAATAAACACCTCTTTACAGCAAATTTGCATACTTATTTAAAAACAGATCCAGGCCAGGCATTTGTAATCCCACCACTTTTGGAGGCCAAGACAGACAGATCACTTGAGCTCAGGAGTTTGAGACCAGCATGGGCAACATGGGGAAACCCCGACTCTACCAAAAATACAAAAAATTAGCCAGCCATGGTGGCATGTGTCTGTGGTCCCAGCTACTCGGGAGGCTTTGGTGGATCACTTGAGTCTGGAAGGTGGAGGTTGCAGTGAGCCGGGATCACACCACTGCATTCCAGCCTGGGTGACAGAATGAGACTCTGTCTCAAAAACAACAAAAAAACCAAACCCCAAAACAGATCCAATCATTTCTATAGAAAAAGGTTTCCTGACTTTGTGCCATGGGAAAGTAATCTCAAGGCATTATATTGTCGAATTTGCTTTATTTTTAACTGGACAAGGAGAAGTTTCTGACTTGCCTTCCCTCTTATTCCATCACAATTCCTAGTAGGGCATCCACATGGCATGTCAGAAGCTGTCCATTAACCCAAGCTTACTAGGAGAGTCACTGACACCAGAGAAGGCTTGTGAGCTCTTCAAGGGCAGAGGCCAGGTCTGTGCCTTCCAGGTGCTGGGTAAGTATTGTACAGTAGAGGGCTTGTTTCAGGGTCTCATGCACATGTCGCAAGCCTTCTCCAAGCAGCCTTGCAGTGATAATGCAATCAAATAAACAGAAACAAAGAATACAACATTTAAAGACTGGATTCCATTCATCTTACCATCAGTAAAAAAATATGATCTGGTCCCATCTTGTCTAACATAAAAGTTTTCTCCAAGTTTGCTGCCGGCTTTAAACCTAAGCATGGCATGATCATACAGCCCGTAGTCACGAAACAAGACACTTTTGCCTGGTTTTAATACCTATGAAACAAAAGCAGGCTGAATATGACTTTGGAGAACTCCGTCAAAATAAAACCTGATTAAGTTAGGATTTAAAATCAATTTGTGATAATTATTAAGGGGACAGACTGAAATGCCCATAATATGAAACCAAAATGGCCTACTAGTTAAACACATAGTAAGACTGGGCAGGGCTCCATAACACTAAGACTTTTTTTTTTTTTTTTTTTGAGATAGAATCTTGCTCTGTCACCCAGGCTGGAGTGCAGTGGCATAACCTCAGCTCACTGCAACCTCCGCCTCCCATGTTCAAGTGATTCTCATGTCTCAGTCTCCCGAGTAGCTGGGATTACAGGCACCTGCCACCATGCCTGGCTAATTTTTGTATTTTAGTAGAGATGAGATTTCACCATGTTGGCCAGGCTGGTCTCAAACTCCTGACCTCAAGTGATCTGCCCACCTCAGGCTCCCAAAGTGGTGGGATTACAGGCATGAGCGACCTCGCCCAGCCCTGAAGACACGTCTTAAGTACCTCCAAGAGCATCCTGGAATGTCCAATGTCACAGTATTAAAATGTTAGAGACCAATCTGGGCAATATAGTGAGACCCCATCTCTATAAAAAATTAAAAATTAGCTGAATGTGGTGGTACATCCAGTAGTCCCAATTACTTTAGAGGCTGAGGTGGGAGAATTGCTTGAGCCCATGAGGTTGAGGCTGCAGTGAGTCATGTCCATGCCACTGCACTCCAGCCTGAGTCACACAGCAAGACTCTGTCTCAAAAATAAATAAAGTGTTAGAGACAATAAATGAATGTGTTATCCTCATCGAAGCACTTTCTTCCAACATTTTATTCACCATTTCCTAGTATTCAAACTGTATTCAACTGCCTCTTAAAAAAAAAACAACAACAGAATGTTGTTTTGGCTTTTTACTGATTCAGGTTGGTTTTCCTTATTCTGAGTCTCAGCTCTCATTTCACTGTACCACAATGTACATAGCTCAATCACAGTACTAATGACTGATCTATGCCTAGCATTTGACAGCTCAACCATACATTTTCTCATTGTATCATCACCCAATTGTGGGACAAAGAAATGTGATTATTATTCTCACTTGAGATAAGGAAACCAATACTCAAAAGGGTTAAGTGATCTGCCAATGATCATACATTAGCCTTTTTTTAGAGACAAGGTCTCGCTACGTTGGCCAGGCTGGTTTAGAACTCCTGACTTCAAGTGATTCACCTGCCTTGGCCTCCCAAAGTGTTGGGATTACAGGCATGAGTCACTGCACCTGGCCAAACTGTGTACTCTCGACCACTGAACCATAACTCCTCTCACCTTATGGCAGGACTCCATGGATCCCAGGTAACTGCAAAATCATCTTTGTCTCAGGGATGGCAAAGCTCTGAAGAGCAGCCATGGCACTGCACAAATCAGAATTTAGGGTGGATGTTTTATGCCAGAGAACCCCTTTCTATACACTGACTACACAGCCTACCTAGTGAGAAAGGAGAGACTATGTGAATCTAGACAGTACATGAGCCTCATTAGGGAAGGTAAGTAAAAGAATCTGTACTGTCCAACCCTCAAGTACAGGCCCCAAATTACTAACCTTGTAAATGTTTTCTAAGACAAGGTGCATCTTATCAGGATGAACAGCTGAGAGCACAAATATCAACATAACAACATCCACAGATCCTGGTGGTACATGATCCAGAAGATCATCTTTGGTCAGATCACACTGGAATACCTTGCATCTTTCTGTGTCATATAAAGGATTTTGCTAGAGTGGAAAAAACACAAATGAATTTTAATGTGACCACTATGCTGATACATTTGGAAAAATACAACATCAAAAGGCGATCCTATTTCTTATACATAGAAATGATCACTTTGTTACCAGATAAAACTGATTAATAAATCACTGACATATAACGCATGTAATATTCACTACTGCTACAAGGGGCAAGACTTTAATAAATCATTTTTAGCTGAGGAGAGAATAAGAGTATTACATATTCAAAACTGAGCATTTTAGAAGCATGTTATTTCCAGAGGGAAGACGATTCAAAACTGGCCTCTGCTTGTTTCTTTCTTTTTGTTTTTTTAAAGGGACAGGGTCTCACTCTGTCTGCTGGGCTAGAGTGCAGTGGCATGATCATGGCTCACTGCAGCCTTCACCTCTTGAGCCCAAGTCATCCTCCCACTTCAGCCTCCTGAGTAGCTGGAACTACAGGTGCGCACCACTGCATCTGGCTAAATTTTTATTTTTATTTTTGTGAAGATGGGGTCTTGCTATGTTGTCCAGGCTAGTCTTGAACTCCTGGCCTCAAGTGATCCTCCCACTTCAGACTTCCAAAGTGCTGGGATTACAGGCGCAAGCCACCATGTTTCTGCTGGCCTCTGGCTTCCTTAATCCTCCTTTGAATAATCTATTACAAGCCTAAACCCTATGAGAAGCCCTTCTAATTCCCCTTGTTGAGATGCTCCCACAGTTTTTCTGGGGTATAATTTCTCTTTATGCAGCAAGCCAAATAAACTTAACCTTTTTTTGACTACAAATGTGTTACTGGTACATTTTGGTTGGTAGGCTTCAACACATGTTTAAGAGTATTATGAAGAAAAATATTAAACTTTTCTTTCATGTAAATGAGGACGTGAATAAATAGATATACAAAGTTACTGGATGGGAAAATTAAATGCAAAATTAAAAAGATGTCAATTCTATTCATAATTCCATTTGTAAATCCAATGCAATCTCAACTGATTCCCAATAGATTTCTAGAAACTTGACAGGGTGAATCTAATTAATCAGAAAGTAAAAATCTTTAAGAACAGCCAAGTCAATTTTTAAAATGATGAACAATGAAGTAGGTATGGTGGCTCATGCCTGTAATCCCAGCAACTTGGGAGGCTGAAGTGAAAGGATCACTTGAGTTCAAAGCTGCAGTGAGCTATGATCCGTGCCACTGCACGCCAGCCTGGGCAACAGAGCAAGATCTCATCTTTAAAAAATAGGCCAGGTGCAGTGGCTCACACTTGTAATCCCAGCACTTTGCGAGGCCAAGGTGGGTGGATCATGACGTCAGGAGTTTGAGACAAGCCTGGCCAATATGGTGAAACTCTGTCTCTACTAAAAAAATTAGCCGGGTGTAGTGACCCATGCCTGTAGTCCCAGCTACTCGGGAGGCTGAGGCAGAAGAATTGCTTGAACCTGGGAGGCGGAGGTTGCAGTGAGCCCAGATCATGCCACTGCACTCCAGCCTGGTGACAGAGTGAGACTCTGTCTCAAAATAAATAAATAAATAAATAAATAAATAAATAAATAAATAAATAAAATGGAATGAAGAATAATAAAGAAGATTCACTACTGGACATCAAAATATATTACAAAACGTAGTAATAACACGGTTTGAGAAAGGAGACAAACATATCACCGAGACAAAATACAGTCCCAAAACAGACCTGTGTATGCTGTATATATAAACAGGAATTTTCTTTGTTATATGATAAAAGATAGACAAAGGTGACAATTAGATAAAAAGGTAGACAATAAAGATGACAATTATGAATGAGGAAAAATTAATTTCTCATTCAATTTACTGTGTTCAGAAGAACTGGCTACCTATTTGAACTGAAGGACAAACGACTACCCTTGAGACACAGGCACACAGTACCAGTTCAAATTTGGAGAAGCAGAACATTAGAGAATAACCCCCTCTCCCACACCCCGCCACCAAGTCTCCAAGAATAACAGTCCACTGCAGCTGGGGCTCCGAGCCGTAACAGACAGTTTCTTTGGCAAACAGTACAAAGGGAAGACCCAAATCCAAGAGAGGAGACAAAAACAAGTTGCTAGAGGAGTTTGAAGTCTCTGGTGCCCACAGCAACAACAAACCTCACAGACAGCAACAGACTTCAAACAACAGCCCAATTCCCAACTAGACTGTTACAAATCCCTATCCCTCAGTATCTACTGGCCCTTATGTCTAACTTTAACCAAAAAGTAGAAAACATCCCAGAAGGCAAGAAAAAACATAGTGTGAAGAGAATAAGCCACCACCAGAGCCAGACTCAAATATGACAGATGTTAGATCCAAAAGCTTGGGCATTTAAAATAATTATGATTAAAATGTTAGAGATTCTACTGGAAAAGACAGACAACATGCAAAATCAGACATATAATTTCAGGGATGGAAATTATAAAAAGACTCAAAGAGAAATGCTAAAAACCAAAAACATGGTAACAGAAATGAATACTTTCAATAGGTTCCTCAACAAAACATGTACTACCTAGGAAAGAGTCAGTGACCTTGATGATAGGATAACAGAAATCACACAAACTGAAAATGCAAAAAGGAAAAAAGTGGGGGAAAAAACCCTAAAACAACAGCATATAAGGGCTGTGGGGCAATAGAAAATGTTACACACGTAACTGGAATCCCAGAGGGAGGAGAGAGAACAAGAGCTAAAGAAAGAATTTGAAGAAATAATAACCCTAATTTTTCCAGATTAAAAATCATAACCAAAATTATAAAATAACTATATAACCAAAAATTATTAAGAGCAATATATAGGTGATTACGTCTAAATCCTAGGAATAGCTGGGCGCAGTGGCTCATACCTGCAATCCCAGCACTTTGGGAGGTTGAGGCAGGAGGATTGCTTGAGCCCAGGAGTTTGAAGGCAGCCTGGGCTAATGAGACCTCATCTCTAAGAAAAATAAAGTAAATCCTAGGAGTAAAGGACTCCTAAACAAGGCATAAAATAGAACTTCAAAAGGAAAAGATTAGTATTTTGCCATGATAATTTAAATCCTGTGTAGCCTGGGCAACATAGCAGACCCTCAACTCTACAAAAATTTTTTAAAAATTAGCCAGGCATGGTGGTACAAGCCTGTGGTCCCAGCTCAGGAGGCTGAGTCCACAAGGTCGAGGTTGTAGTGAGCTGCGTTTGTACCACTATACTCCATCCTAGGTGACAGAGTGAGACCTTGTCTAAAAAAAAAAAAATCCTTGTGTAAAAAAAAAGAGATACCGTAAAGTGGTGCTGAATATACTGGAAGAACTGTTTGCAACATATATACCAAAATATCTAGAATGTATCCTGAAAATAAGAAAGAAAAGGACAAACCAATAGAAAAATAGGCAGAGGTTATGAATAGACAGCTCCTACTACAAGCTCCATGTGGGTGGGAATTTTTGTCTGTCTGTTCACTGTTTAACTCCAGTGCTTAGAACAGTGATTGGCACACATTAAGCTCTCAATAAACAAATGTGGACTAAAGGAACTCACAGCTAACTAATGCTATCGACCTTCCACAAGGCCTTCAACCTCTCTGGTAATAAGAAAAAAATAAATTAAAATATGGAGACATTATTTTTTGCCCAAAAGATTGGTAAATATAAAAAAGACAGATATCAAGTGTTGAGGCAATTAAAAAAAAAAAAGGTACCTTTATATTATTGGTGAAATTATAAATTAGTATGATCTTTTTGGAAGGAAACTTGGCATTGTCTATTAAAATATAAATGTCCATGCTCATCTTCCAAGGAATTCTACTTCCATTATTCTCTATAGACAAATGCATACACACATTTTGGGAACATATATATGATGCTGATCATATTAACCCTATTGTAAGAGCAAAAAATTAGAAACAATTCAAATATATATCAATAGGGTAACTGGTTTTTTTGTTTGTTTTTGTTTTTTTGTGATGGAGTCTCGGTCTGTCGCCCAGGCTGGAGTGCAGTCGCACGATCTCGGCTGACTGCAAGCTCTGCCTCCCGGGTTCATGCCATTCTCCTGCCTCAGTTCTCCTGAGTAACTGGGACTACAGGCGCCCGCCACCATGCCCGGCTAATTTTTGTATTTTTAGTAGAGACGGGGTTTCACTGTTTTAACCAGGATGGTCTCGACCTCCTGACCTCGTGATCTGTCCACCTCGGCCTCTCAAAGTGCTGGGATTACAGGCATGAGCCACCACGCCCGGTCGGGTAACTGTTAAATAAAGTATGGTATATCCATTCTATGGAATACTGTAACAGGTAAATAAAATCTACATGTACTAACATGAAAACTCTGCAAAATAAAATAAATAAAATAATAAAATAGGCCGGGCGCAGTGGCTCAAGCCTGTAATCCCAGCACTTTGGGAGGCCGAGACGGGCGGATCACAAGGTCAGGAGATCGAGACCATCCTGGCGAACACGGTGAAACCCCGTCTCTACTAAAAAATACAAAAATCTAGCCGGGCGTGGTGGCGGCGCCTCTAGTCCCAGCTACTCGGGAGGCTGAGGCAGGAGAATGGCGTAAACCCGGGAGGCGGAGCTTGCAGTGAGCTGAGATCCGGCCACTGCACTCCAGCCTGGGCGACAGAGCCAGACTCCGTCTCAAAAAAAAAAAAAAAAAAAAAAAATAATAATAATAAAATAATAGTAAATATGATACCACCACTATTTTTAAAAATCTGTGTATATAGTGGGCAGACTTAAGTCCTTACTTAAAACGTCTAAATTTTCTAGATGTTTAGAAGTGCACAAAGTATGTTAAAAGTAGGGTAGTAAATAACACATTTTGTATATATCCTTTTGTTAAAATTCACTGAAATATTACGTTTTGGAAATGGAATGATTAAACCACTTCTCTAATCAGTACACATCATTACATTTGTACTGGGTCAGGAGAAAAGGAGGAGAATAAAGTGCAAAGGGCCTTACACCAATGTGTTTATAGCAAGGCAAGATTGACCACTGTACCTGATGTCCATGCATTTTATTT